CGAAATCGGATGAACCGGCCTGTATTGAATCGCATGCTCGAATCGGGAGTGTTTGAATCACCAGTACTTGAAGTGCAGAGCTCGAAGAGGACAAGTGCTCGAATCGCGCTTTTCGACTTCTCAAGCACGGGCGAAGTTTTTGGCTGCCAGCTTGCTGCAAACTGCAAGCTTGTTGCTTCGAGGGATCACCAACCAAGTCCCAGATTCTGATGGACGTAATGCTGCATGCTTATCAAAACCTCGGTGCCGCATGATACTGGAGCGGCGGAGCAGCGTGCTGTTGCAATGTGCATGCCAGACAGACAGGCAGGCAGAAGCGGGACTGTGCAGCACGATCGCAGCCGCCTTCAGAAGCTTTGCGGCCCCGTGCTTCTTCACCTTGGCCGCGGGCACCATGCGCATCTCTCTGCAAACATCTTCTTGAGCGGCTACATGACGGTCCCAGGGCCCCGGGCGGTCTCTTTCCTCAGCACGGCTTGCTCCTGCTGAAGGTATGTAGCCTGCCACCAGCTAGGCAATGCCAGCCAGCGACGTGCTGAATGGTGTACCCATGCGTGTTGGCATCTCCATCCCATGGCACTCGTAGCAGTATGCTGCAGCTTGTTAAATTCGAGACAATCTGGCAACAACTACTTCTGCCAACCTCGTGTTTTCCAATCGCCGGAAGCAGGCGCTCCTGTACAGTGAATGCATGAGTATGCTGTCCGACAGGTGCACAATGTGCACTCAAGCCTCCGCTTGATTGCTTGGACAAGCCGTCTTGACTTTGGCTGGCTTGGATGCCTCCAGCGAAAGGCAAGTCAGCACCGTGGGTCCCATGCCATTCACGTTCTACGGCTGTGGAAGGCAGTGGGTAGCACTAGCTGGTTCTCCTGAAACCTCGGCCTAGTGCATGAAGAACTCTCACGCTCGCGCGTATTGCAGTGACAATCTATCATCCGGTTTTAGGGCTGTCTGGGTTAAGTTCAGTGGCTCTGGCTGGACCGGCAGACGCAGGCCTCGCCAAGGGAAAGGATTGGCTTGTCGTCTTCCGAGTCGCTCAAAGCCTGCAGCAGTGAGAAGTAAACTGAGGACTAATCTGTCGTTTCGCAAGGAGACTGCCGTGCCATCACTATTAGGCACTCCCTCTGCAGTGCTCTTGGCCCTCTTGTATATCGTATGCAGAGACGGTCAAGGCAAAGCAAAAACGAAACTGCGAATCTGGATGCAGGAGGTAGTCATGCAATGAGTCGTACAATCCTCCTTGCTCATCGATCGAGAACCATGTTACAATGGCATTGCATGATGAGCGGCCGAGCCTCAATGCGAGGCGGATTGTGGCAGCGCTGGCTCGCATCACGCAACTCAGCATCTGCTTGCGAGACCATGCCTGCGTAAAAATGAAGTGTGCGTCTCGGGGGTTCATCCTCTCCCACCTGGGCCTTGTTGCTGCTTGATCTGCTTGCCAGTGACCCGGCGATACTGCAGCGAGTCAACACAGAGCTGGAGACACGGATTCTTGAAATCAGAAACGACGTCAAGCGGAGGGTTTATGGTTTATGGATGCTTCGCCGACCTAGACAAAGAGGACCCTCGCCTTCTGCGCAGGTCCCTCAGCTGGTACCTCTTCGCCGTCATCATCCTCACAAAGCTGCGGGCTAAACCTTGAAGGTACTAGCACCGTGAATAAACACAGTCAGGGGAGGATCGGGGTATACCAGCACGCGTTCTTTCCATTCTTCCAGTTGTTTGCAACCCGGAACCACTAAGGGGATATGAAGAGGGAGTCTGAGGCAGCTACGTCAATGAAGCAGCCGTTGCTTGTCAGCACAGAAGCTCCAGCCTGTGGAGCGCAGTCGGCTCTGCGAACTACTGTGATCCTGATGCTCTGACTGGCCTTCGCGAGGTGATCCATAAACTGGCGCCATTCACATAGCTGTACCTGGCTCTCCGCTAAGACACGGCTGGCTATCCACAGCAAGAAACGGCAAAACAACAATATGCTCCACTGCCTGCATTGTGACTGCGCTGAGCTGACCGACGCCCGTGGACACCTGCCCAGGTGCAAGCAGCAGCGCATGCGCGTGTGTACAGCTGTTCTACCTGCTGCAGAACCAACGGTAGCTTTGCGAAGCGCTTCTTCGCCATAGCCTCCACCTGGCATAGCAACCGAGGAAACACCTACCAACATAACTGCAGAGCATGGAAGCGCTTGATCCCATACACTGGCCATCAACCCCTCACCCTCACTAGGCTCGCCGTCTGGCTCCCCCAACGACCTCATCGAGAATGCTTTCGGCATCTCTTTAGAACAGTTGCTCACCCTTGCGGCTGCAAGGAACCCAGATCCGATCATGTCATGTTGACAGGGCCAATTGCGCCAAGGACCCTGGGCTTTCGAAGGCAAATGACATTCTAGCCGCTTAGCCCCTCTCTCCCTACGGAAAAACTGAGCCACGAATGCCACTGCCTGGCTGAGGAGGCTCCAAAAGCCACGAGCCGCCCGGCGCTGCGACTCGTTGGCCGCTTTGGTCGCCCTTCGCAGGGCCTCCCGCATGTCCAGAGGACCTCGAAAGGCTCCGCAGTAGACGGAGCAGTTGGCCGGTCATCTGCTGAGGGCACTTGAGGGCATGGCAACGACCATTGAAGAGTCGTTGGAGTGCCTTCAGTGCTCCGACGCCGACCTGGCTTCAGGATGTTCCCAGATGAGCAGTTTGAGGCTCTGCCATCACGTGCAAGAGGACAAGTAAGCTTTGCGCATCACAGCTATTTGCCAGCAACTGCTCGTTCGGGTAAGCAATATCAATGCTCACCTGCAGAATGAGAACCGTTGTGCAATCAAATCTGGTGCAGCATGCAGTGATGCCGACCGATAGGTGATGCAACACATGCCAGATCTCGCCATAAGCATCTTCGCCCATGTCTCGCCAAGACAATATCCTGCTTGGATCGTCCGCGAAATTTCCTGAATGCCCAGGAGTGGGCTCGAGAACAGACACCGGACAGAGAGGTGCCGGAACAGCCCTGGCCTCGAACTTCTCCATGCTTGCCAGACTGTCATTGTGCAGGATTGGCCACAGTTGTTCTGCAACCTGACAGGAAGATGACAGAAGATGTGATTGCCACTGAGCGACCGTAGCTCTTGCCTCCAGCAGTGTTCGAGTCCTCTGGGCCACATTTTGGACCAAATTCTCGTCGTCGTCCTTGCTCCCAAGGGCAGAGCATTCGAGCAATGCTGGATGGAAGCTGAGCCTGGCAGAGCCGCTTGGGGATGGCAAGGAAGGCCGAGGTCTGCAAAGCATGACCGGTCTTCTTGCGATACCTCCAAATACTGCCAAGCGCCAGGGCAGCAGATCGCAAAAGGACAGCAGTATGTGTCTTTCGTATCCGTCCCAGCTGCGCCAGCATGCTGCGGGTGATCTTTCCACTTTCCTTGAAGTAGGAGATGGGATTCCTGCGATCTCTGCACCAGGCAGCACACAGTTCAGGCTTTCTTGAAGCGAACAGGGATTCTTGTCGCAAGCGCCGAGTCCTCCAAAATTCGTCGCGTCGCATATGAGGGAGCTGAGCCTCCTGAGCGGCCGGGTTGCAATTCAAAGCCATCAAATGCCCAAACACGACGAATTTGTTGGGACTCGTCCAAGCTACTCGGAAGATGGTGCCGCGGCAGTGTGCCCTGAACCTCGGTTCATGCAGGGAGTGTTCAAGCCTTTCACGGAGCCTCGAGCTGTCCAAGAGCAAGGCACGAACATCGCCAAGAATCGACCTTGACAAGCACGTGAACATGAGCTGGCTCGTCTTTGCGTTGCAGACTCGCCAGGTCCAAGTCACACTTCTCATCCCACCGCAGCTCAGGATTGTGGTGGATGTTTTCCACGATGAAGAGTTCATGGGCGCCCAAGACCTGTATGCAAAAGTTTGCTCCCGATGTACCGGTCATCACAAGGCACACGCAACGCAGGCCAAGAGGCTGTATGGAAGGGCATCCATTTCTCCTGTCTCCAGGCAACACAAAGGTTCCTTGATTCGGTTTTCAGCTGTCAAGTCCTTCTTGCCGAGGTTGGGCTGCACCCATTCCTCAAAGTACGGCCAGATCGCTCTAGCCTTCGCGGACTTGGGGAAGAAGCGGTGCACCAGGCCAGGAGAACGTGAAAGTCGGCCTGCTGATCCTGCAGCTCCAATGTCGCTCCCATGCAGTGGCCAGCTTCCATTCGAAGCTGGCATTGCAAGAATTGGAAGAACCTTGGTGGCAGTGGAGCGCTGCACACTTGCTTCTGTTCGAAACTCGTCCGGGCGGCTGCTCCAAGTCACCGGAACTGACTTGCCTCAGACGTTGGAAGGACAAAGCGCGAGAAGGCAATGGCCCCTCGAAAATCAGGTAGTGTAACCGAGCGACGCTTCAGTGGCGACATGGGCATGCTTTGACATGGCCTTTCATGGATGGGCATGAAGGACCTTGTCCTAGTTCAGACGGCATATGTTGGGCTTGGCTTCTGCATCACGTGCCGCTTGCAGTGGGATTGCTTCTAGGATTCTAGGAGAACAAAGAAGCATCTGTAGAACACACAATTAACCAGGACAGCCAACGTGGTTCAGTAAAGACATCCATGCCCGTGGGTTCGAATGGAAAATGGGCTGGCAACTCTTGAATGTGATCACTTTGGACCACTTGCTAGCTTGGGTGCAGCGGTTGAGCGGGAGCATTGACGAAAATATCTAACATGGCGGCATAGACTCTACCACGCACATTGCTACGCCTCTGCAATGCGGGTCATTCGCGGCATGCTGCGGTGCTCCTATGTAACAATCACGGTGTGCTCCTGACGGCTAGCAGCCAGTTTGTTTTAGCAGTGAGCCATGTAGCAAGACCAAGTGCTTCCAATCTGAAGACGACCTATACAGGAAATATGACTTCACCAGGCACCTAACAATGCTCGAGCACACAAAGCACGGACCGAGATGCCCACACAGAAAGTCTTTTGGGCAGCCACTCTCTGTCCAGGGGCAGCCGTCTCAGCATCTCATCCGTAAATCGTGAAAGGCTTGCCCATGGTGCTCTTGATGTGCAATCTCTTCACCTGCCACAACGGAAACAGCGCTATTCTTGTCAGAACCTCCATGAGCCAAGCCGACCCTCGTAAACACGAAGCTTGAATTACTCTTCCAGGCCCGACTAACTTCAGGATTTCGTGGAAAGTAGAGCCATTATTCCCGCGTTTGAAGCTGCAGGCTATTGAGTGCGGTACCGAAAGCTGAGATCGAATCCAGCTTAAGGGATGCACCGTGGAAAATCACCAGTGCAAGCTACTGTCTTTTATTTCTCCGATCGTTGCCTGCAGGGGACAAGCCCAGTGCTGGGAAAGTTCACTTGTTGGTAGATCTGCTTGGATCTGGTTATGTGTCTTCTCTTCCCATAGGCCAAGCTGCGTTGTTCCAGTTCTTCTTCAGCAGCGACACCAGGAAGTTGATGGCCATCAGACAGTTCTGCCTGTGCTGCAGGCAAAATCAGCTATCGTCGGAAGCCGGTGCGTTTTGTGCAGTGATCAGCACTCGTCCCATGCGCTCTCGGGATGCCTCAGCTCATCCGGGGTCATGGCGACGTTGCCGACTGCAACGCCCATGCAAAGCACCTTCTTGAGCTGAAACTTCACCTGCCAATGCCGTGCTCGTTCATGTAGCAAGACAAGCACCGTGACTCCGCTCGCCTGGCTTCGCACTTCGGTGACTTTGGTCTCCAGATTGTCAGAGTGCTGCACGAGAGTGGGGAACTTTCCGGCCTGCAGGCCAGGAGCGCTCAAGCCTAAGATCTAGGGGTGGATGCGCTTCTCAGTCATCTCAATCATCTCAGTCATCAGAAACACAGCTATCAGCAATTTCACACGATGGCTCTGGCAATGCGCAACCATCCAGTCCTTGTTCAGGCCGGGCCCCAGCAATCTGGGAATCTGTGGGATCAGCACCTGAAGCAATCGCTGAGTGGACTAGCTGACTAGCTGGGACTCTTTGGAACTTATGGTAAGGGCCGCGTTCTGTTCCGCAACTTCCCGCGCCACACAACAAAAAGGTTGGAAAACGAGATCGGATATGTAGTGCTTTGAGCAACCTACAAACACGAAACACTAAGCCAGTCTTACAGCAGTGCGTGCGTGTCCCGATCTTAAGCGCAAAAGAACGGTGACGTCTACATTGATGACATTGATCACGAGAAGTCGTTGCAGCATTTATTGCGTAGGTTTGTTCGTTTCCGTTGGTTCGGTAATTATGGTTTCGCAGTTGGTCGGGCCTCACCCGTCACACCCAGAGACGCAAAATCCTTGTGCCAGTCACTTCACCTTGTTGATGGACAAGTAGAAATAGTACCACCACGGGCAGCATGGAGGCGGTGGTGGTGGTGGCGGTGGCGGTGGTGGCGGCAGCGGAGCCGCAGCCGTAGCCATAGCAGTAGCAGCAGCAGCAGCAGCAGCAGCAGTAGTAGTAGTAGTAGTAGTAGCAGCTGTGGTGTGGTAGCAGTAGCTGTGGTCAGCTGTGGTGTAGTAGGAGTAGCTGTGGTGTAGTAGCTTACAGCGGTAGTGGCAGTAGTACTAGCAGTAGCAATTGGAGTAGCACTAGCAGCAGCAGCAGCAGTAGTTTTTCTTGTTGAAATGCTAGTAGTTTCGCGGTAGTAGGAGTACGCAGTAGTAGTAGTAGTAGTAGTAGTAGTAGTAGTAGTAGTAGTAGACTGACCACTACTGCTACTGCTACTGCTACTGCTAGTGCTAGTGCTGGCTGAAGCTAGTGCCAATAGTGCTAGTGCTAGTACTTGTACTCGTAGTGTCGTAGTGTCTGCATCCCGTCTGGGACTCGATCTCGATCAATGTCACATCCGGCTCCGTGCCTACACTGTTACCCAAGATGCAACCGCTTTTTGCTGGTGAAAGAGTCGGCCTGCCTGTGATGCCAGGAAGGCATCGAAGCTGTCTGCGAGCCTGCGGACAAGCCGAGGCAACTGACTCTTTAAACACCTTGAACTGAAATGCTTGATGTGATGGCCCGGCACATAATGTGGCAAGAGACGGGTTGGGAGGGACTGGGCTTGGGGCTTTAAATGGGGCTTCGGCATCTGGCGATCCCTGGAAACATCCGAGACCAGCAATGTCAGGTTGACGCCCCAGGCACAACAGTGGCACAACATGTACACATAGGGTTCATCGCAAATCATCTAGGGAGCAAAATAGTGTCATGCTACTGGCAGCATGCCAAGTTGGAAGATTTGGAATACGAGCATTTCGTGCCCAGTGGCTTCTTCACCATCTTCTTGTTCTTGTTCAGCTTCTTCAGGTCCTGGCGCACGTAAAAGCCAGCTGAGAAAGCCAACACCCAGCCATCCCAGCCCTTGCACCAGAGTGCTTACTGCTCGGATGCATAAAGATGTGAGAAGTCTTTCGGTTCCGGCACTCCTCCACGCTCTTGAAGGGGATGTTGGCCTGAGCAACCGCCAGAACTGCAGCTACGTCCAGGAGACTACGGCAAGAGGGAGGAACAGCTGAATGACGGCGCCATAGTTCGCATAACTGTTCGACCATGCTGACATCTGAGGAGCATGCGCGCTGCGCCTGCTCGCAGTGAACCGCATCTCCCAGCACGCACACCTGTCACGCCGAGTTCAAGTCAAGAGCAGAAAATCAAGACAGATGCAATGTCCCTACTCAGCAAAAAAGCTGTTCCCCAATTCCCATTGGCCTTCAAGCGCGGACGCGGCACGTGAGGAAGCTTGATGGTGCCTGCACAGAATCGTGCGGGTATGGTCCGAAAACAAGCAGCTAAATCTGTCGGTCTAACTTATTTTCTAGCAGTCTAAAGCACCCTTACTAGCTTTCTCGCATGCCGTGCAAAACAAAAAGCTCTCTGCCCGCTCCTGCGAAGCGCTTGTCTCGCTGGGTGTCGTAATCCTTGAGGCCGATCTGAAGCTCCACCTAGCAAAGTGACACAACCGAGAGGCTGGGGTACGCTTTGAGACTTATGATTATGGCCTTCCTTGTGGTTGCGAGCTAATACGGGCCGGGCTCGAAGGCTTTACACCGTTGAAGGGCAGAGACTTGCGACCGTGGCGTGTTTTTGCAATACCAAAGCTACGCCGCTACGCTGCAGCTGCTACAGTTGATCGAGGTTCAAGACATTAAAAGCCGCTGAGATGCTTCCAATGTCTTGAGTCCCTGAGTCTCCAGCTGTCTCGAGGAACTTTCGCTGCTTCTCTTTACTTCCTTCCAGGATCCCGGCCTTGGGCACAAACTTCACAAGCCGTTTGGGGAAGACGGAAGACGCCGGAAGTCTCACGCTGAGAGAAGATGCTACCGTGTCGCAGGTGCTGCGCCGCTGCTGCGCACTGCAGACTCAATTTCATCCCGAGGCTTCGACGATGCCTTTCTTCAAATTGTCGATGTTCAGCTTCGACATGCTGCCCGAGCCCCGCTGAGAAGCTCAACTGCCCACACCGCTGTTGAGCCAGCCAAGCCGTTCCCATCGTCAAGAGATAGTCGCCCAACGTACCACTGCAACCTAAATTGGAGGGCTTCTAGTCTCGAAGAAGCTGAAACCAGCAATGCTTATCGTCTCGGAGTGTCTCTGTGATCTTCACCGACTTTTCTCCAGCATGCACCGGATTGGCGGAAAGCGGTGCAACAGAGCAGCAACGGTAAGCTTCAAGCTGCCGCAGATTCTATGTGCCGAATCCAGGTGACTTCTCAAAGAAGCGCCGAGGTGACGAGGACATTAGCCGGACCTTAGCCACTCTCTGCTCTCTGAGCTCTCAGACGCGGGCTGGGCTCGGTCCCAAGCTGCCTCAGGCAGGCCGAAAAGAAAGGCGCCTCAGAGTCCAAAGAAACCTACGGGAAGTCTTATTTTCTACATCCTGCATGGCTCTGTCTACGGCCTTGGGCCAACAGGCCCTGGGCGAGGAGAAGCGAATAGCTTGGGCCAGGCCTCGCAAGGCGTCAACATAATTCATATCACCGAACATGGCACATCGCTTGAACATCCTAAGGCACACGGCGCGTGTTGCCTTCAAAGGGGCATGCATAGAACATGGTATCACCGGGCTCCACGCGATTCAGTCCGAGAACTCGCTAGCGCGCAGACAACGATGACAGCCACGTTGGCCGAGCTGTGCAGAATCGTGAGCATCAGTCGCCTAGTGCCGAAGCTTCACTGTAACAGTGGGCAACATTTCGGGTTGTACCCAATGCATGCCAGACCAATCTCCCTGCCTCAGCAGCAGACCTGGCTTGGAGCTCGGAGATGCACCCAAACAGCTTGTGAGCGCCACAATAAGACGGGGCCTACACCACTGGGGTCAGAGTCAGGGGTTTCTGCCGCGACCTGCAGAATGCTCCTCAGAAGGCGCCGGGATTTTGAAAGCCTGGTCGGCAGTCACTGGGCACTGTGCCATGCGGTCAGCTGGGCCATACATGCCCCGAATGACATTGCTGGCGTACACGTGTCATGCTAGAGCCTCTCTCTCTCGCAGGGTAGCCCGTACAAACTTGGTGCAGATTATGCTCAAACAACTCAACACTGAACAATGCGGCTCAATGTCAGCAAGCAGTGGCAAATTTGATTGCGGCATTGGTTGGATCGGTTTGCTAAGATGACTTTGCAGGGTTGCTGCAGTCATCTAGAAGCTTTCTTTTATCAGGGTAAGCGACCCCCCTCCCCAGGCTCCAGGCATCTAGAAGCAGCACAAGTCGGCGTGAAACCCTCGGGGCTGTCCCCCTCTCTCTCCCTCACTCTTCCTCTTATCCTGCACCCGTTCTTGCATCTGCCATAGGCCACGCTTTGGCCAGATCGGCCACAAGGCGCACGCCTGAGACCTTTGCAAAAGACCTGGCCACGTGACTACAAGCGCCTTCTTGGAAACCCAGTCGCCGGCGGACGCAGGCGGAAAAAACCCAACGGCAAGCACCGACAGTTGTTTCGCATCATATACATGGTGGTCACTCCGATTTCGCAAGGCCTGAGATGCAAGACGCCTGGCCTGAAGCACCCGCGAGGCGTTTTGGAGACTTCCCAGGGCTGATACCTTCCGTCATCTCCATGGTGAGAAGTCAAAGCCGCTACCTTCTGGCCAGTCGGAGCTTCTGCATGCCGAGGCCGAGGCCTGCGACAGTACCTGTAGGACTCCACCCTGGTATGGCCAAAGCCTGGCCGTGGCCGCCTCCTTCACAGACAGCTACAAGAAAGAGAACCGAACTAGCATGCCAGTACATCGGAATATCAGGACATGGCAGGACAAAGATGCTTCGCGAATCTTCGCAGGTCCTCACCGCCCACGGCCAAAAGAAGCGATGCTAGGCTGAAGCCTGCGAGGAGCACCTTCCATGCGCGCACAAAACACGGGAGTGCTGTTTCCACACTTCGCAGCATCTCGAACCTAGTTGCTGCAGACTTGGCTGGTGGAATCAGTTCGACGTCGATGTCAAAAGGACCCCGAATCCACCGCTGTGGAAGTGCTCGCATGCAGGACACCCCGAAAATCCAAATCTAAGCTGTCAGAGCAGTGCCTGGCAAATGAAGCAGCAGGCCGCAGCAAATACCTGTCCATGGCGGTCAGCTGCGGGAACCTCTCCCGATAGGGGCTTACAGCAGAAAATTTAACGCAGGAACAGCTTCGGGATCGGCCGATGGCCAGCAACTTACAGACCAGGACTCGGACGCACACAGACACACAAAAGATTCGCACTGACTGGTAAATGAAGCCTCATGCAAGGTTGATTCTATACTCTGCTTCCTGATCTTCTCTCTAATTACTAACTACTGTGACAAGTTGGTCACTGGCCTGACATCTCCAGCATACAAGAAGCTGCTCCGCAATAGAAGCGTCAGACGGGTCCAGCAGAGTCAACTTGCTGACCTCAGACTACTGCTGGGAGTTTCGGCATGCAACTCACGATTCTTAGCACACCTGCCAATCCTCAATGCAGGGGCCTGCCTCTAGTTCCCAGGAAAAACCTCGTCGACTACTTCCCACTGTTTCAGAAAAGGCCTGCATCTCATTTTGAAGTCAAGCCCTTAACATTGATGAAGTCATTTCGTCTTTCGTTGCAAGAAGGGGCCTGGATGGCTTGTCTGTGCTTCAATCATTACATGCATGCCACCCAATGAAGCTGGCAAAGACCAGATGTCACAAAGCAAAGCCCGTGGATCAACACTACAGTAACCAACAACAGCAGCAGCAACTACAAAAATAACACCGCTCTGGTCGCCTTCAGGCCCTCGTTAAATGGAGCCGAAACTTGCCGGGTTCCGTGCATCGCTGTCGAGCAACACAAGTGACTGCAGGTTCAGCGCGGAGCTTCGACTGGACCTCGAGCGACCCAAGGAAGACAGCTGCAGTTCCGCTGCTTCACCACTTCGCCGCATGCCTCAGGGTTGGTGCACCGAGTCCTCTGGCGCGCAGTTCACCCCAGGTACAACTCTACGAGTCAGCTTCAACAGAAATTAACACTTGCCGTTGTCCACCGCCGTCGTAGTAGTAATAGCAATAGTATCGTAGTAGTGGTAGGCGCCCCCCCCCCCTACCAACTACACTTGCTTAAAACCATCTTAAGAGCACATCCGTTTTACTCGGTATTTACAGCACTTTCGTCATGTACGATCATCATAAGAGGCCCCAAAATCCACTTGCCGAGTTTGCTAACTCGGCTTTTGGACTTGCTGCGGGGGGGGGGG